AAAATACTGTGAGTGCTTTCAGCCATGTTGATTAGAAAAACAGCTTAGATTATAATTATTGTAGAGTTCATCCAAAAATTACTTTATATTGTTATTTTTCAAGAGTTGATCCATTTATGCATATAAAATATCAGTCATGGTTTTGATACAGTTATAGTAGCAACATATTTCATGCAATAAATATTAAACAAAACAATCTGTTGATATAAAATACAGATTTAAAAACCTATTCTCTTATCATTATATCTCATTTAAGAAAGTTTTTGGATGTAAAACTAAACAAGTTACAGACTGAACTAGGTTGTTTTTTAAATTTTGGACCGATTTTGGCTGGTATCTACAAAAAAAAAATAATTTAAAAAATAATGTTGAAAAAATTGACAACTTTTAAACGCATTTATATTTGAAAGTGAATACTTACACAAGTTTTGGCTGAGAGTCAGGTTTTCGAACATCTAAGTAGTTAGATAGCCTAAAATCATACAAATAAACTCATCTAAATCAAGAGCACTCAAAAAATATACTTTAAGGAGGCAGTGGTTGTAAATTCAAGAGAGGGAGAGAGAGTTACCAGGAATGGTCTACTTCCTTGTATTTCTTCTTGTTTTTACAGACGAGGAATATAATGATTCCAGCAGTAAGTGCTAATGCAGTTACTAATGCTGCCAATTTGAATTCGTTGAGTTTACAAGTTCGATCATTTAGCCCATCAAAGCAATCAAACAGGAATATACATGGGTCTGTTTCACATTCGTCAATGTCTGTAAAAATCGAGGAGGTGTAAATTTATATATCATTACCTGAATACAATAAATATTAAGATATTTCCCCTAATCTACATTGAGAAATAGTCAAGACATTACAGATTAGCAGCAGCAATCATATAAGGATGGACATAAACAATGTAATTATATAAAAGTTAAAGGATAAGTCGTCTATAGCCTTTCATACATAGGTAAAGAGTTGGTATTTATCATTAATAACAGAAATGATTTTTGGAGATAAAATAAATGTAATATGAAGTAATTTGATTAAAGCATAAGATCATCAGTCGATTGCTGAAACCTATGGTGGGCTTTGACATCTTTTAACAGTTATTCATACTTTTTATTATAAGAGCTAAAATTCAACATAAAAATATTTGTTGGTAATTGATTCGATCGCTGCCAAGGTACTGAAGTACTAAAAAAAAACCATAAAATAATGACTGGTTACATGCCATTATGGACAGAAAGGACATAGAACAGGTTAATAGATAACCTCAGATCTACTTTTACTAAATCAGACATAGTATCTACCTATCTCACAGTTGTATCCTTCAAAGCCAGCAGCGCATGCGCATTGGTAAAGGTTTATCTGATCTACACACGAGCCACCGTTAAGACAAGGAAAACTTGCACATTCGTTTATGTCTATGAAATTTGAAAATAACGAATAGCAACCAAAACATATAAAATCCAAATGAACCATAATATAATCTTAAAATAATGTCCTTACCATTCATTGATATAGTTAAAGTTATCTTAGAAAAAGAAAACTCTTAGGCATATATACCTGTTTCACAATTAGCACCAGTGAATCCAGGATGACAGAAGCAGGAAAACGAATTAACAAAATCTGTACATGTCCCGTCATTCAGGCATGGTTGACTCGCACACTCGTCAATTTCTAGAAAGGTAAGTTGTATAGAAAGGATTAAAACACATTGAACCTGGCAATTTCAACTCAGGAATGTAGAAAGAAACAATAATGTAAATATACGGGACAATATATGTGTCAATTAAGTGTTTACTTATGTTGTAAAAAATGTCATAAATGGTATCAACTGTTTACTTGAGTCAAGTGTACTTAACAGCATTATAACATTAAAATGAAATACAAGTTTTAAGGGCATGAAAACCTCTTAATAACGATATTTATGGTCCAGAATCAAATCTCGAATTCTCATTTTGTACGAAGCAGTGTGAAATACCTGTTTGACATATTCTGTCGGTGTACCCAGAAATACAGCTACACGTGAAGTTTTGGGTCATTCCTAGGCGGACGGACACACATTTGGTTATATATTGGGTACATCAAGTCCAAGTCCTATTGGATACTGCTTATTGGATACAAAAAAGTGTACACACGGGAGAGCATTATTTGGGTAGTTACTGTTCAAATCTTATTGGATATTAATCCTCGTGTCCGTATTTTATTGGGTTTTATCTTATTGTTTTTTATTCATTTCAAATTTATTATATATTTAATATTTGCTGGTAAATTCAGACAAGACTGAAAACCTTTGGTTTTGAACCCATATTTTAGTCAATTTCTGTGATATAGCTCTTTTATTGTAACACCTAACTAATTTGTTCTTAGCAATAAGGATATACACCTGTATATTTCAAAATAACTAATATTAAAATATATGAATACCTTAGTGCAAAAAAACTGATTTGTGAAAACACAACTCAACACATCTCAGACTCTGTTCAACCTTTCTTGAATAACAAAATTAAGTATTTAAGGAGAAACCTTTTTGAGTCATGACCAATTAATAATAAGCATGAAGGTATCCAACAGGCATTGGTCAGGTCTCCAATACCTGTTGGGTTGTATTTTGACGAAGGGATTAAACTACCCAAGAACAATTGAACATGTGTACATTGTCTAATTCTATTTGGGTTTCTTGAATCTCCTCATCAAAATACAACCCAACAGGTAATGGACACCGGTCCAACTCCTCTTGGATATCTACATCCCACCCAACAGGTAATGGACACTTGTCCAATTCTTCTTGGGTTTCTTGAACTGTTTCATCAGAATACTACCCAACAGGTAATGGACATCCGTCCAACTCCTCTTGGATATCTACATCCCACCCAACAGGCAATGAACACTTGTCTAATTCTTCTTGGGTTTCTTGAATCTCCTCATCAAAATACAACCCAACAGGTAATGGACACCTGTCCAACTCCTCTTGGATATCTACATCCCACCCAACAGGTAATGGACACTTGTCCAATTCTTCTTGGGTTTTTTGAATTGTTTCATCAGAATACCACCCAACAGGTAATGGACATCTGTCCAACTCCTCTTGGATATCTACATCCCACCCAACAGGCAATGGACACTTGTCCAATTCTTCTTGGGTTTCTTGAATTGTTTCATCAGAATACCACCCAACAGGTAATGGACACCTGTCCAACTCCTCTTGGATATCTACATCTCACCCAACAGGTAATGGACACTTGTCCAATTCTTCTTGGGTTTCTTGAATTGTTTCATCAGAATACCATCCAACAGGTAATGTAAATCCGTCCAACTCCTCTTGGATATCTACACCCCACCCAACAGGCAATGGACACTTGTCTAATTCTTGGGTTTCTTGAGAATCCCCTCATCAGAATAGTACCCAACATGTAATGGACACCTGTCCATTTCCTCTTGGATATCATCATCCCTTCAATAGTATATAACTAAAAGGTATTGGACATTCTTCTTGGGTTACTCAAATTTTTTTTCATAAGAAAGAAAGCCCAATAGGTATTGGACATTGGTTCAACTCTTCTTGGATATTACATCCCAACATTAGAATAAAACCCAACAGGTGATGTTTACCTGTCCAATTCTTCTTGGGTTACTTATACCCTTCATTAAAATTGTAAAATTTGTCTTGGATATTTATACTCTTGCATTAGATTGCAAACCCAATAAGTATGACATTTACCTTCCCTAGTTGAATTCAAATTTATCTGCATAAGCATACATAAGTCCAAAACATATTTAATACTTTAATTCTAACATTCCACATCTCATTCAGTGTACACTTTACAAATGATAGGAAATATATAAGCATTTTGTGCCTAAACTATTTGGCTTTTAAAGAATTTTATAACCATGTTTGCAAAATTTAAATTTAAATATTGGAACTTGGAGCAAGTCATTACAGGTAGAGCAAGATGCTGAAAACCATATTGATAAATAGATCACACCCTTGATAAAATATTTGCCTTCAGTTGCTAAGATTGTGTTGTATTATATGGAAAATTTCTATAATCCTGTTTATTACAGATACATGTACAATGCATATTTTCCCTGTAATAATAAAAAAACTTCTGAGATTTAAAAGAATGGATTAAATAGTCACCGATGTTAAAAGATATTACATGATCTCATTAATCTGGTTTGGAAATCACAAACTTAGTTTTGAAGCCGATAAAACAGTGTTGCACCAGAAAACGCAGTTACAAGTACAATGAATGAATTCGTTGTATCAAAACTTTAAAATAATTGATGCAATAAGTCCAAATCTTTTCGACAAATCGGGATAAAGATATTAAATCAAATCATCACTGTTATAAGTCTTAGAGCTAGAGAAAAGTCATTACATGCCCAAATTTTACATGTAAGACTTTGATCCTATATTTCAATAAATGTCAAAATGGTTTTATTTTTGTTTCTATTCAATACTTTCTTCTTCAGGGTCTCCCATGGCCTATACTGTATGATACCTCCATTGACCCTGCTCTTTTATATTGCCATATGTTTATCCAGTAGCAGTGGTTATGCTAAGGCAATCTTTGAAATATTCCTCATTTCATGCATCTCCTTCAGTTCTGCCTCTATCCATTTTATTCATTCTGCAATTAGATAAAGGCATTTCTTTGCCGTATAAAACATGTTTTTCTTGACTACAGCAAGATCACCCTTTATGTTGATCAAACCCAACCAAGAAGTAGAAGTATATTTCTTATTTAGAAGTATGTATTGATAAATAAAATGGAAGAAAAACTAAATTCTATCAACTCTTTTTTTTCTTCTATGTCTAACTGCATCTTCATCTTACCCCCCATCAGCCATAATTTTATCAAAATGGAATCATCATTCAACACACAAAACGATATTGCATATTAATTAGACAGTATGTTAGTTTCTGATTGTTAAGAAGGAGATTTTAAAAAGATTTTACACCTATTCCTTGAAAAATTTAGACTTCTAATGTAACACTATCAGTACATTAGGGGTACATAATCTTCAAAAACATCTCTACACTTAATGATAAAGATTTCACATTAGTATTGTTTTTAGCCCCATGGTTCTGCTAAAGAGGATTTAAAATTGACCCAAACCTTACTAACTTCTTTGAAATTATATTGACAGGGACAGAGACACAATTGACACTCCATCCCCCCTTCCTGGGGTATGCTTTGCACACAATTTAATTAAAATTGACTAAGCTGGATAGAAGTTGAAAATATAAAAAATTACAGTCAAACAGATTATGAATAACTTTCGGCAAATCAGACATGAAGTAGTGATCCTTAAATAAAATACACCTACAAGATGAAGCTGTTTTATTCCTTTGAAGTGATATCTAGTATTGTTTCTTTTCCTGTATGCCACCTATTATTATGTTATACATGTATTAACATAACCTATGACCGTATAGTACCCCAGTATTTACTTTACAATTAATTAAGTTCTGGAACCAACCCTAGGATGCCCTTAACACAAATGATTCTAAACTGGCAAAGGCAAAGGGTATCTGAAGAATTTAAAATAAAATGATAGTACAAACAAGCAAACAGTGTGCATGAAAATGTTGGCAAACACTAGAAAAAATACTAAGGTACTTTCTCAAACTCATGAATACTAACGAGGTTTTATGTAGCTATATTGCACATACCAAAAGCTTTCCTGCAGTTAAAGGTTGGTTGCCTAGTAGTTATGTAGTATGTACACGTTTTTCCCTCTATCTCTTCTAATTTAAGAAGCGAAAATGTCTCTAAAAATCTTATGGTGGGCATGAAGTATTCCTGTTCATTTTACTGATTACTTACAATTGTCCTATTTCTGAGGGTCATCTTCTGATGGGTGTGTTCTCTGCAATGTTCACAATTGAAGTTCCTGTTTGACCTGTTACATATTGAAAATCCTCAATGAACAGGATTATGGTTTTAATTTCCATAATAAGTATTGATTACTTTTATTTAAAAAAATCTAAACCAATTTATTGTAACATAATACTTAGGAAAATGTTTATGTTATATCAATGGAAAAAAAGGAATCATTATCTCCAGTTATCCTAAAATCACAAGTAAGCATTAATCATATAAATTCACAAACGTAAACCCATTAGCTTTTTGTGCTATTAAATCATAGTCATCGCTGTGCAATAAAGGAAATCAAGTACTAATCCACAGCTTTGTGGCAATAAAGTTACTACCCGAGTAAAAAGTGACAAGCCCAAATATAGAGGCAAAAATTAAAAAGTAACATTGAAAAAAAGTTCATCGTGAAAAAAGTCAGGGTATTAACTACAGATGATTCTTTTTAAAATTAAAGTTAAATTTAATTTTCGCTAGTAAAATTTAATCATATATAAATTAATGATTTTAAAAAAATGGAAAAAAGATTTTGAATATTCCTTTTCTGGTCATTCACTAGTTCGTCTAATTAAAACGAAGCAAAAATCATTTTATTTTCATCTTGAATCATTTAAAGCCATATATGGCGTATGTACAATGAAAATTATTAGACTAAAATTATAAGAACTTATTATTTATATCATTACTTTATATAAACATGATTAAGATAGAAATTTTCCGTAAATTACAAAATCTAAGTCAATTGCGTTATAAAGATATCAAAATTTAATTTGGATTCTCGGAATTTTCTCCGACTTGGAAGAAAATACAAAAGATTTAAATAACACATTACAGAGAAGATAAAATCGTATTATTAGATAAAACGAGGTGTTCTCCGTGCTCTGAATTGCATGAAAAGCTTTAATTCAAATGTATTAACTATATTTCTTTACTTAATTTTGTATTTTTCAAAAATATATTTTTTGATCAGTTATTTATATATGGCTTAAAAAAAGCTACATAATTGCATGACACTTATCATTGAGCTGATTGAGTGAATGTATATAATTTAATAATGAGATATCTGTGAGGCATATATGTACACGCAAATATTGCTATATCAAACATAGGAAAGGGGGGAATTCAAATTAGGAAATAAAAGATCGTTTGAAGTAAATCAGTCTTGTAATACTGCAAAATGGATGCAGTTGTGGAGATTTATGGATAATATGAGCATGTTGTCTGGAATATTTCCACATTAGGGAATTTAATAGCAAAAAAGAGTGAAAATACCGGTGGTGCTTTTCATGTATTACATGTGTATTTTAAAATTCCTAATAGCCCAAGGGGATTCCTCGGTGCAGAAAACCACTAGCCCCATCCTCAAAAATAGAAGCCCCGGGTGTAGCGCGATGCTAATTACACACCCATCATGTGAAATAGTTATAGTAGCCCTATATTAATTTCAGTATTGTTTTAAATTACTTAAGGATATCCGATCCTCAGCCAGGAAGGATAACTCCAAATATTAACATTTTATTTGAAATGCATCAAAATGAAGCTTGAAAACGAAATTTTTCATGCAACAATTTTCATTTTATTCATCTTTATAAGATTCAAAGTTTCTGGAAGTCTTGGAAAAGGTCTTATAAAAGTTGACTTTTATACCCTATAAAAGGGAAAAATTAATACCGTTTTAGAGAAATAAAATTTTCTTGAATCCAACCTTAGATACTAATGCTTATTAGTATAATATGATATAAAGAGTGATATGTGGTGTCTTGCAATGATAGCAAAAGCCTTTCACACTATGTATTATAGAATATATGGCGGAAATAGAAGACAAAAAATACCAAATAAGTATAAAAATCATGGCAATTTCTCTGAATGCCTGGATACCTATCGTTTTTTACCCTAAAATATATTTGTTGATCAATTTGCAATTAGAAATTGCATTGCTGATATTCCAATTCATTTTTCCTGCAAAAATATTGGAGATTTTACAATTTTCCAAATATATATTATGATTAACTTTAAGTTTTAAATTTAAAGAAATACTGTGGATAAATTTACATAACTTTGTGGATTCAGAGATACTTTTATGAGTACTTTTGAGTACTTAACTGCTAATTTTATAAACCTGAGGATCGGACTACCTTAAAACAAATGACAAAAACAATAATTTAAAAAAAAAATCAAAATAAAGCAGACAGTAAAAATCAGAGACAGAAAGAAGCACTGTTTCGACTGAAAGTTTTTCAGTAATACAATGAATCTCTTAAGTTACATATCAGATGAGATAAACTTACATACAATTATTTAGTTGTTGTCAATTATCCCATTTATCATCATCTCAGCTCACTTTGCGATTGTAATACTGTCTACATGAACCGATAAATTACAGCTGATTTATGAACACACGATTGTTAAAATTTTCATTTCCCTTTCCAATATACATTGTCAGAACATACTTAGTTGGTAATGATATAAAAATTAAATAATAAACACTTTCGATTTATTAAAGATTTATCTAACAATATACGATCATTTACGAAATACTTCTCGCCCTCAAGAGAGTTAAAAAGACAGAGAAAATTCAAAATACAAACAAGTGCAACTTAGGATTAATTGTTTCGATATATCTATTTTAATCTTGTGCACAATTGTTTTCAAAATTACATAAAAATCTATTTTCCTTAAACAAGAACCCAGCAATGGATAAATATTAATCGAATAAACTTACCTTTTCTCTTGTCAATCAGACAATCTTGTTGACATTAAGTGTTTCTTAGTCGCCATATTTATTTTCCATGAAAACAAACGTTGTTATGATCAGGATCAACGGAAGTTGATTTTCGGAACTCTCGAGAATTTAGAGTTCCGAATGTAAAACTGTTACAACAAAACACGGTGCGTCCGTGAAAGCAACTATTTTGGACACTTTTTTGGACAAATCGTCGTGTCCAAGTTTTGTTGGGTACTAACCTGCAAATACCCAATTAGGGTGTTTTAAGCATATTCAGCGACACTTCTTATTGGGTATACCCAATAAGCAAAAAGTACCCAATAAGTACAATCTTGGCATGAAAAATACCCAATAAATGCACTCTCGTAAACACGAATGCACGTCCCATTATTCAGACAAGGTTCATATATACAGGGGCTTATATCTATGTCATAAAAAAAAAATAAATAAGATTGCGATAAGGCATATTTATTTTTTATTCCATAACTTAAAAAAAAAGTTTACACATACCTGAAACTCTTATTTGAACACAACGAGAATCACTTGCTTTTCTACAAAAGATGTAACATATGAATATTTAAAAAAAGTAAGTAATGTCTTGTAAAATATATCATACAGAGTCAGATTCCTGTCAACAAAAATAATATAAATAATGACCCCACCCTCCCACCCCCACCCCCAAAAAAGAAAAACAACAAAAAACAAAAAAGGCCTGTGTGCATTTCTTTTTCATATTACCACATTCTAAACATTTGTGTGAAATGTCTCATTGTACATATACGTCAGACATTACCATTTATATGTTTAATTATTTCAGACCCCTTATATAATTATTATTATATTATATATGCATTGCACATTAGAGGACTACGTATCGTTTGCTGTTTGGACAAATTACCCATTATTATCTTCTGCTAAGGCGCATAGTATATGTGAACCAATCTGTAGTGCTGTTGGTGTCCATGTTGTGTTTATAAAGAAAACCCATGGTCGTCCTGGGTATGGCATGGGAGAAGTATACGTCATCCCAGCTGGTGAGGTAACATCAACTCTTGTTATTCTTTTAAAAAAAAGGTCGATAAAAATAATTTGCAGTTAAAAATATATTTGTGAAATCGGTTTTCTTATTGACAATAAAAATGAACAATGTTTAAAAGAACGTACGTTTGATTGCTAGCGATGTAAAATGAAATGTGTAACGTTTGTCCCGTCAAAACGTTAAAAATGGTGCCCTCTGGAGGAGTGTTATTGACAAAAACAGGTCGTTCCTCACAACCACCAGACAAACTAGCAGTCCTCACAAGAAACTGAAAAATTCACACCAACTTAATTAAGAACTGAAAAGCCTCCGAGTTTGAATTTGAAAAAAAATGTAAACATCTTGGTTTAATTTTTTTTTAAGTCTACCTGGAGATGAATTGCCGTCATTGGGTCAGATGGAGTATACGTCGTCCCACCAATAGTAATATTTGAGCGGGGAAAGTCTTCTACAGTTACAGCTACAGCATATGTACCATTCACAGTGTGATTTGATGGAAAGGATATCGTGCAAGTTTCCTATGAAAACATTAAAAATTCTATTCATAAAAATCAATATCAAGTAAGAATGAATTGCTTGATTTTGAAATAGAGTATTCACCCATTCTCAATATAAGGGCACAAATGCCACTCTGATTTTTTAAAAAATGAAGTTCAAGATAACAATTTTTCTATCAATTACCATTGAAAGAAAGTATGTGAAGATTTTGTTTCCAGATTTTTTTCATCAAATTTTAATACATGGAATAATGACAAGACGGTAAAGTAGAGGGTGATTTTATTCAGAAATGTAGCTTGAAATGTACGTTACTCTTTCTTCAATGTCCAAAAAAATATGTCAAAAAAAATGTACTCATTAAAATCACAATTGGAATATCTCATCTTAAAACCAGCACATCCTACTAACTCTGTCAGCAACATATTTTCTCGGCATACGAACGTGCGTTTGATTTTTCCTTTCAAAAAACAAAGGTTACTTTTGATCCAGATTTATAAAAACATTTTTTTAAATATATGCTTTAAATTCTTCTCTCTGTTTTGTTTAGAGCGATCAGTTTGGAATCTTTTTATTTTCTATAGATACTGGAACTTAACATGTACATGTAGTAAAATTCTATTTAGTAGTTACTGTCTTTTTTAACATATATCCATGTCGATTTAGAAAACTAGGTAAATGTAACGTACATTTCAAGATATATTTCTGTTTAATAAAAAGCTTAAATTCATCTAAAATTCATCGTTTTGTTTCAGTTTATTCCAAAAAAGATTCTCTATGTAATCGCATTGTGTTATATGTCACAATCACCACTATAAAGACACGATTGCCTCAGAATATGAGTAGGTAACGTTCATTTCAAGATTGTAAAAATATGTAAATTAGTAATAAGAAAATATTGAAAAAAAAAACAATTATTGACTTAAAATCATTTCAATGAAGCGTTTTAACGCAGTAATATAAGAAATCATAATGTAACAAACGAGGTTATTTGTCATCAACTACATGAATGTCACGTCACTTCGGTAACGTTCATTTCACATATTATTGGGGAGTCCCCTCCACCTCAGTTCATTACCCTTCTTTTATGCTGTTTCGCTGAAATTGATACCAGTCGTAGCCTAGTTACTTCTACCTGTGTGCAAGGGTACAGACAAAAAAAATAAGTTTCAGACGTATTTTGCTATGATCTAGCAAATGCTCGTGTTTGGCCATTGAAACTTAACATAAATCTATTCCGAATATATCCATCGACAGTGTTGTTAACAATTTCATTTAATATGTTGCAACTTCGTTTGTCAAAACACAAACATACGTGCTTTTCAGCAGATCTGGAAAAATATAACTCAAAATGCAATGTTTCAAACAAAACTGAGTATTGTGTGCCTTTCAGTATTTGAAATGTACGTGACCGTCTTGTGTTCTGGATTTATTTGTTTTGTTTCTTTTTCTTTTGTTTTGTTTTTTTTTCTACCAATTATAAGCCAATGCATACCTTGTTTGAAATTATCAACAACAATTAAATTAATATTGACGAAAAGTCGCATATTAAAAGTAAACAAACTGCAAAAAGGTTGCCAAAGATGAATTTTAGACACTTAGAAATAATTTTTCTAGCATGGGGTAACAGTCTACCACATTTACGAGGATAGGGGGTGCATTTAGATGGATTTATGTGGTCAGTTGTCAAATGGATTGTAACGATAATTTTGTTTCGCTCGTGTAAACGCAATTCATTGACTAAATAAAAAAAATGTCAGTCAGAAATCCGCAAAATGTACGTTACCATACGTAACGTACATTTCAAATATAGAAATCAATTCTATTCCACAAGCGTACGTTAGACACGCAATATATTGATACTATTTGAACTTGCATATCATGAGAAATCCATCATACAGGTTTCGTATTCAGAAATATATACCAGGTATCAAAATAATATTACATATAATTGACCATAATATATTTTTTTTCCTCAGCAGAAACGTTTCTTTTCGTTCATTTCGGGATTTAGCCGACCTCCAACCTTTGAAACTTTCCTTTGTGTACGCATTCGAATGTGTGAAAGTATGAGAATACATGAAAATTCGTGCAAGATTCACTTAATTCGAATTTCATGGTAACGTACATTTCAGTAACGTACATTTCAAATGATCACTTTTCATGTAAAAAATAATTTTTAATTGTGTTAAGCAAAACGTCTTTGCCAGTTTACAGGATACAAGGGGTTGCTTATTCAGAGTCATCTCATATTTTCTACTAAATATATATTCTTAATGGAAAAATGTAGGTAACGTACATTTCTTTCTTATCTCTACGATTGAAAATGTCTTTCATTCCGTAAACATATTTATAAAAGTTGCTCAAATTGTTCAATTTCATGTTACATTATCTAAGTAGGAGTAATTAATCCTTTGAAATTTCAAATTTAGCCCGTCAATAAATAAAGGAGAACAAAACTATCAGGTGTATAATCTTTGTGTTTGCTTGTAATGTGGTTGACATAGAATTAAGCGACAGGGACATTGCACAATAAAAATTATTTATTATCACAAAGAAAATGTATTTATTGTTATGAAAAAAAATATATATGATACAAGGTTTAACTAATCAGAAAATTTTTACTTGAGAATCAAAACTATATATTAAACAGAGGGGATTCACCATAGTATTTGCCTCGGCGACAGTAACGTACATTTCAAATAGGCTACTATATTTGAATTTGGAACTCCTTAAATACCCTTTCAGATCGATAATTATATGAATTCTTATTCATTGTTATATGACCATTTATAATGTTGATTTAAAAATTGCATCAGTGGTATTTCTTCTAAATGAAAATGAGGCGACATTATTTGAGCCCTTATATTGAGAATGGGTGTATTATTTTGGGATGAATTTTTTTAATACTCAATTATAATGATATGGTATCTATCAAATATTGATTTACTCTATCCAAGCTGGCGTAAGGGAGAGCGGAACAGACAGAGACACATTCTGACCCTGTGGACCAACGACATCTTAAAATATCACTATCAGTATCTGCTACTGGAATTTGTAAGGCAAGCCGACAACCATACTGTAGTCTGAAAAAGATTGAAACCATAACATTTTTATATTGAAGACATTTTCTACGACGTTTGATTTTACTGCTTTTGGTATTCATTAAACATTAAAATACATAGCGAGCTTATGCGTTCATCGACAGTTTTTTGTTTTACTTCTCTTAATGAAAGTGAACAAATTGTTCAGAGAAAAGGAGTGATTGCAAAAGTTTTACAGTAGCAATAACACCATACGTTGGTGAAATATCTTATCAGGTCACTTTAGACCCAGTTTTTATCACTTTGTATATCAAAAAAGATGACGAGTCTTACGTGTACATTGGTTTCCCTGTTGTGACAGGACTGGTGTTAGGTTGCTGGATATCATTCCTACTGGCCAAATTAACGACTGTACGAATTGACCAGGAACTACCAGACCCATAGTCCAAACTTATCCAGCAACAACTTGCAAATCTAAATAAATTAAAAGACAAACATTGAACCATTGAATTACAAAACCAAGCAGTTTTCCTTTTTTATGATGGCTAGATAAAAACAAACAAATAATTATTTTAATATAGCTTATTGACATAGAATAGCAGGATATAAGATATAACTTCAAAGATCCTTTCATATAATGGCATTATGGCAATCGTATTTGTGAAGAAAAGTAGTGTTCTCTATCATCTTACTCAACGACGAAAGGGCCTTCCCCGGGAAATGTATAGTCAAAAGTCCTCTCCCCTTGTTCCCAATCCTCAGCTACGCTTGCTCCTGTACATATATAGTTTACTGTACTCAAAGACTGGGAGGTCGAATTACAACCTGACGTACATCTCCAGAAGGTACTATTCATCCCGGTAACCAGGGAACCTATCAACGCTGGAGTGCAACCAGGTCCCGTACCATATCGCCATCCCAGCTTAAATGAGAACTGGACCTGCAAATTGTGTAGGAAAAGTACATTTTATGATTATAATTTACCTTCTACTTAAAAAACAAATTACACTGTACTAAAGTTCCCATAGTAGGATGGGTTGCTACTTATTACAAAAATGCTTCTTTTGCATATTGTTTGATTGAAAACTCATTATAATTTTGTAAACTATTGAGCACTAAACTATAAAAGTGAAGTTAAAATACAGATATAAAGGAATAGTGTTAAATATGTAAAATGAAATGTATGAAAAGAAAAAAAAATTGGGACATTTTTCCCGCTTTATTGTTAAATCAGTTTATGATTTCGGAATATACCACAACCTTACCCCATAACCGATTCCAGTAGGTTGCCAACTTATTGTGCCGCCTCTAAAATGACTAGCTTCAGACACTGTCACAATAACAAAGTTCAACAGAATGTGAAGTATGGTATTCATCCTTATTTTTTTAATTTCTTAATGCAGAAAATCTACTTTTATATATAGAAGGCAGTTAGAAAGCAACCAATAAAATAATTCATCATGCAGATGGATCCACTTCCTTATAACATTGATGATATATGAAAAACAATGGAAAGTTTCCAAATATAAATAGATATGTCAAGAAAAACTTCTTGGAGGTAGAAGGGGTATAATCTTATAACTGGATGTGTCAACTTTGATATAGTATTTCACATGTATAAATATTACACTCATGCAACTTTTACTGCATTCATAAGGAAGTTCTCACGCGATTATTCAAACTTAAATCCAGCCCAAGGATCATCTTCAGATTAAGGTGCCTATTTTTGCACCTTCCTTAAAGACTTAAATATACCTTGTAAAAGATTAAGGGATAACATGCTTAGTAATAATAATAGAGAAAAAGAAATAATTTTGTTTGTTAATTACATTTTCAAGTAAGTATGTTTATTTTCAGATACTGTGATAAATTATTTGTTGGACCTGCAACATGTTGTCCCATGTACAGAAACATAGTCTTCTTTATGTGCCAGAAATGAGAATATTGTCTATTATTTACTGAAAATTTATAGTTTGTACCTTTTTTTGTTATTGTTTTATCGTTGTTGAGCATAAATCAATTTATCTTTAGAATGCATCTATGTATTCGAGAGCACGAGAATGTTCAGATCATGCACAACAGTATACAGAAGTTAATTTCAAGCAAACAGTTCCACAATAATGGACTGTTCGCCGTATCATAAGCATTGTTTGTAAGGCTTGTTATTTTTTAAATTGTATTTTAGAGGTGCTTGTATTAAATTTTTCAAGTGGTAATCCAACTAAAACCCATTGCTCTCTTTTTAAGGAGGAAATGCATGAAAATTATATGTCCGTTTTATAAAATATTTCCGACAATCAAAATTAAATATCAATAAACACACTTTTACTGGGTTCTTAAAATTCATAGAAATTCTTACAAAGATAAAGGGTTCAAGGAAATGTTCTTCCAAGTATCCTTTACTCCTCATCAAAATATTTACTACAAGGAAGGAGAAACTTCAGAATTGGATTGTTGTACAACACTGTTTTACACCGGTATTTAAAACCATAGGCAATCAAAGGACAAAAACATGTATTTAAACATTTTTCTGATGAAAAAATTTCATTAAATTTTGTCGTTAGGAAAATTTGAGCTATCTTTCTTTATTTTGTTGCTTGGCAAAAAATTATCTCTGAACAATAGATACGATTTTTTTTTTAAAAATTCAAGATACATTTTATTGTTAAAAATATTTTCCTTTAAGATTTTGATATAAATTCTACTTTTAGTTTACCCTCATACAGAAATAATGGATTGAAATTTGATGGCGAGACAACTCCTTGAGAACGAGTTGAGACGTAGATAACAATCCTGAGGGCAAGACAGCCGTATTTCCAAGATGATTTCTCGCCTAGTCCAAAAGGGCTTTATCAGGGCTGACGCACTACTTGGTATGTGATATAAAGCAACTTTATCACAATTTAGTAGTTGCATTAAACACGAATCCTCTGGCAAATTAAATTGATGATTTAGAATGCAAGAACTCTTCTCCACCCAACTTGAGGTGCATTTGAGATGACCGAGTTGCAGGGCTGCTATAAGCTTAGATTTTGTGTACATAAGCCTTCTGAATTCGAAAGATATCAAATATCTCCCTGAGAATGTAGAGATTAGTAGAGAACAATTTCGACAAAAATAGTTCTTTTATTCTATAATTGAAGTGTAGAAACAATCGAAAATTTCATCTAGAAGACTGGGAGCTAGAAATACCGGATACTGTAAAACAACTTATTCGCGTGCGAGAAATATCCGCGAGTTCCGCGACCTACTCTAATTCTCGAATATCAATTGCCGCGAACCATTCATTTTCCTTAAGTATTTGTAGAGAACGTTTCCTCAGTCGCGAAAATTAATCGTCGCGGACTGATTTCAAATTTACCAATAGCGAATAATATTGGGTTTACAGTACACCTTGAATTTCGTTTCCTGGTTTCTAAAATCCATCAAAGCGGTACATAAGGCTTTTTAAAAGTTTATAATATATACTAAGGAAACATTCCGTATAAAGTAAATTATGGCTATTGATGTTTAACAAGAGGTTAAAAAGCCCTGGGCCTTGGGCCATAAAACTCAGAAGAGCTCACGTTTGATCTCCGTCTCACTTTTCCACTGTATATTCCTTTGGTAAAAGTGAGACTGAGATCAAAAGTGAGCGCGTCTAAGTTTTATGGCCCCAGGACTGGTCTTTAAAGACAGCCATACCAGCATTTCAGTAAACGAAATTCATTTCCATTTCTTAATCATTATGATTTGTGATCATATGTACGTTACTACCACCTTGTCCCCTTTCTCTCAGACTTTCTGAGAACATTCATAGGTTATCGGTTGTTTTTCGTGTTTTATGTATCAATTTTTATTGAGCAATTTGAGAAATAGCATCAGGGAACCATCTTTAAAAATCTTCAGCTACATTCAGAAACATATTACAAATGCCCAAAATTACTGAAATATATTACAGAGTGTCTCTTAACAGAGATAAATATGATTTAAATATACAGGGAAAAATAATTATGCTTGAAAACACTCATTGAGGACTGTCACTTAACTCGTTGCAGACTAGAAAACGTGCTGCTATGTTACAATTTTCACATCTCGGTGTGAACTAGTTTGCACTGATCTGCATTAAATTTATTCGTCATTTCATTCCATTGATAAAAATAAAAAATGCACTAGAGTTGTGACAAAAAAGATAGAACACAAATTTATTTTCTTCTCTTGCATTACTTGAATTAAGTGTGTTTATCGTCATTCAGTTTTGTCCCTCGCTTTGCTCGGCACTAAAGTTTATGGTGCTTTAGGAAAAGATACCAACATACATGTATACTTAATGACGTGTTATAATGAACACTTATATTTTCTTCTACGAATACGAATGTTCATTACAGATGACTGTTCATTCACAGGTCAAATCCAATCATATCCAAAAAATAAACGTAGCTTGTGACAAAACGTTAGTAAAGTTCTAGAACCAGATTTTTACTAAAGAAAATAATTTTGGGCCCCATGGTGAAAATATAATTTAAAAAGCCTTATTGCACCTTGTTGAATATTTACTGGACAATACCAATCATATTCCAACATATGAATACATATATGCTACTGTAAAAATGTTAGACGAATTGAAGAAGAAAAAAGTAGTTTTGGGGCCTTCATTATTTTCCCCAAAGGTTTATTAAACAGCAATATTGCACATCTATAAGACACCATCAATCATACTGCAAAACATGTTGCGAAACTGCATGCACAAAAATGGTAGAGAAATTGGGACAAATGCATATATAAGTAAGCAAATTTACTCCTGATCTCTCGAACGTCTATCTCTCGAACCAACATCTGGGTCCCGTACATACCGGTATATTTCATTGTTTTTTTTTAATCTGATGCAGCATGATGCCTCCAATATGTTTATAATGGCAAAGTTCATGTTTTGCTCTGGCAGACCCGGAATAAGTGTCAGATCAAAAAGTTTAATAATAGTTTAATAAGAGGTGCACAATGGCACTATGTTACAAAGATTCTGTGAAAGTCTTATTAAATTTCATTCTCTCAATTTCAGTGGTATGAGAGGAGTTGCGCATAAGAGATGGGTACCCCAAAGCGTAACAGACGGACGGACGCACAGCCATACGGACATCCCGATCACTATGTATCAGCTCCCACTTTTCAAGCAAGCGGGTATATTAACTGAAATTACATTTCATAATGCGCTATATCTTCAGTGGTAGATAAACTGATATTGCTAAAGCGTAAAAAAAAGCCGAAGGGAAAGGGAAATTATGTTTAAAAAAGATAATTATCAGGTAAAAAAAACTCCACTCTATTGTTATTGCAATTTTTTTTTATCCAACTCCTTGTTTTCTATCCCCCCAAAAGACTCATGAATAGAATACACACATTCTGATTAAAATGCAAATGAAAATATCTACAATACAAATAGAGAAGGATCTGATTTCAATATTAAGAAATAATACACCGACTAAAACAGCTTTATATTTAAGGATGGTAAACAAATTAATGTGCTATGATACAATAATATACAGAAAATAGTTTAGATTATCCCTTATCATTGTTAATCAAAAATTATTTTTGCTTTTAAGGCTTTGAGCCATTTATATATAATTATATATAATATCAGTCACAGTATTGATACAAATAAAAGTAGCTAAAGATTTCATGTAAAAAAAAAAAAAATAAAAAAAATAAAAAAAATAAAAAGAAATATTGATTTTTAAAATACAGTTTCTGAGGCCTTTGTCCTAATCATTATGTCTCATTTTAAAAAGTTTTTGAATCTTAAACTAAACAATTTACAAACTGAACTAGGTTGTTTCAGATTTTGGACCGACTTTGGCTGGTAGCTGTAAAAAAATAAATAAAAAAAAATTGTGTTAAAATTATGACAATTTAAATACATTTATATTTGAAAGTCAATACTTACACAAGCTTTAGCTGAGAGTCAGGTTTTCGAACATCTAAATAGTTAGATAGCCTAAAATCAAACAAATGAACTCATCTAAACCAAGAGAACTCAAAGATAGTTTCAAGTAATGAGAGAGAGAGAGAGAGAGAGAGAGAGAGAGAGAGGTATTTACCAGGAATGGTCAACTTCTTTGTATTTCTTCTTGTTTTTGTAGATGATGAATATAGTGATTCCAGCGATAAGGGCTAGTGTTGTTACTATTGCGGTCAATTTAAATTCATTGAGTTTACAAACCCAATCATTTAGCCCATCAATGCAATCAAAGAGGAATGTACATGGATCTATTTCACATTCGTCGATGTCTGTCAAAGTACACATACGTTACTATGTGACAGTGAGTATACATTTGTAAAGCATCTGAAGATTGTTAATGAAAGCTCTTATGTTGTACGTTGTTTCCTTCCTGTTTTAAATTTAACTATGTTCATTAATACTACTATACCGACCACTGTGAAATCACGAAGAAGACACAATTCAGAGATAAACATTCTTAAAACTATACCCTGTAAAACCAGTTATAGCAGATTTCAAATACCTGTTTGACATATCCCGCCTGTGTACCCAGCAATACAGCTACACGTGAAGTTTTGAGTCATTCCTTGTGGGATGCACGTCCCATTATTTAGACAAGGTTAGTATGAACAGGGATTCATATCTGTATCATGAATAGAAAACATATACTGTCAATTTGCTTATGGTATTTTAGGTATACTTGTTTCCATTTTCAAACGGTTATTTTCTCAAAGGATAAAACTTACCACCTTTAACTTTTATTTCAACACACGAGAATCACTCGCTTTTCTACAAAAAGCATTTAGTTTTAATGCAATAAACCAGTGAAGAAATAGTTAAGAAAGAGACTGCCTTTTTGTCAGCGGACTTACCCATTATTATCTTCTGCTAAGGCACATAGAATATGTGAACCGATCTGTAGTGCTGTTGGTGTCCATGTTGTGTTAATAAAGAAAACCCCTGGTCGTCCTGGGTATGACATGGGAGAAGTATACGTCATCCCGGCTGGTGACGTAACATCAACTCTTGTTATTCTATCGACACATAAAAATGACTTCAGTTACATAATGTGCAGTAGAAAATATTATTTTAAGTATACGTTGGTAAACTTTTCCCGAGTACCATGAGATTTGGTGCCAAGCCAAGCGAGGGACCAAATCGAATGGCAAGGGAAAAGTTTAACAACATACTTAGTACATGCTTCACGTGAGAATATAAGCCCTTTTTGACTCTGTCTATTTAATTACAAATATTTGTGTGTTTTTATTATTCAATCAAGATAACGACAGTTTGACCCTGGCTATTGCCATTTTGTACAGGCCCAGATGTGATAATTATACCCTCGAGGTAATATCTACCTGTCAGGTGAAGGTCTACGGTGAGTAGTTTTCAAACAAAATACAGGTTCATTTCTATAGATTCTAAAATCTCTGTAAGACGATAGTCATATCATTTTGATGGATTTAAGTCAGGAGCATTTTATTTTTGTGGACATTATTAAACATTTGTTTTTGGTGGTAAAATTGATAAATTTCTCCCGAAAGCAAAGAATTCCATAGAAAACGAAAAGCAGGAAAAGAAAGGTTTGCAACAAGATAACATGTACACTATTTGAGCAATATAGGAAGGTTCCAATGTATTTGAACTTCTTAAAAAAGATCATACTTATACTTTTTGCTGTTTCCTAATCCGTCCATTTCTGTTTAATTGGAATCAAAGAATAAATTAAATAGTAAGTAAACATTTATTGTTCTCACTTCTCAATGCGATAATTCTGATTAAAGTACCAAAGTAAATGGAAAATCCTAAATGTTCAATCAATTACATGACATTTCTTAAATTTCTCTTTTACATTTTAATTAAATTTTTCCATGTTTTAATTTTGGCTAAAGTTGAATAATTCAGGAAGAAAGACAGGGGAAGAGAAAGAGATTTAAGCTTCTTCTTCCAGTCTGTGTACTAATTTATGTAAATTTGTAGATTTTTTGACTCAATGTAGCACATCAGGTCCATTATTCATTGTCTGGTGACCTTGCTCTGTGTCCATGATAGTAATTACCTATCATTGGTAATGATTTTCTCAATAATTATGCACACAATGGCAGAGTCGCCCAACCATGAAGCTTGGGCTTGGGGTGTACCAAGTGATTTGGTAGCAGCAAAAATCCTTTGTTCGAGGTGTGAAAC